CCGGCGGGTTGCCGGACTTTTACTGCCAACGATTTTCGAACTTTGTTATCAACGGGTTGTCGGTCTTTGTTACCGGCGGGTTACCGGATTTTTGCTGCCGACGGTTGATGGCATAGGTTTTGTTACCGGCGGGTTGCCGGATTTTTGCTGCTGATGGTTGTTGGCATAGATTTCGTCACCGGCGGGTTGCCGGACATTTACTGCCAACGATTTTCGAACTTTGTTGTCAACGGGTTGTCGGATTTTGTTACTAGCTGGTTGCCAGACTTTTGCTGTCGCTGGTTGTCGAATGCTGTTGTCAACGGGTTGCGGACTTTTGCTGCCAATGGTTGTTGGCACAAATTTCGTTACCGGCGGGTTGCCAGACTGTTGCTGCTGACAGTTGTCAGATTTCGTTTTTGGCGGGTTGCCGAACTGTTGCTGCCGACGGTTGTCAGATTTCGTTTCCGGCGAGTTGCCGTACTTTTGCTGTCGATGATTGTCGGACTTTTTGCTGCCGACGATTGTCGGACTTTGTTACCGGCGGGTTGCCGGATTGTTGCTGCCGACAATTGTCAGATTTCGTTTCCGGCGGGTTGTCGTACTTTTGCAGTTGATGATTGTAGGATTTTGCTATCGACGGTTGTAAATTTTGTTGTCAGTGGGTTGTTGGACTCGCTTTTCTTCGACATTTACGATTTCGAAAGTTTCTCCGAGAGTAACGTAACGACGAGCAATTAAAAAAATCTCTTAGCCATTTTTTGTAAGACGTCTAAAAGATGTCTGAAAGATGACTGTCTGGGTTAGGTTCGAGTTTTCTGGAAGGTTTCGTCATTTACTCTTTAATGAGCGATGACAGTTGGGTTACATCCGCTCGCCAATCGATAACTACTACTTATGGTTTCCGTCTATTTCGTATGATGATAGTAATTTCACGAAAGAAAGAAATCGTGGAATCCACGGAATGATGAGCAACGACGGGCAATTTAAAAAATCCATATCAAGTAAAACATTATGTTCCATGGCGGTATTTGGTACGGTATAAAATCTGATTTTTTGACGCGCGCTTGTAACTTCTACCACGCCGTAAAAAATGCCATCGGTTTCAAGCGGTGAGCTGTCAAGCATGTAAACTTTATCAATTTCTGTAGGAAGAAAGTGCGATTCGCTCGAAATAACGTTATTTCGGATAAAACTGATAGGTGACCCGGTGTTAATAAATGCGTACAATCAAGTACATAGCAACATATATTTTCATACTGATATCTGATTCTTAGATTGGGATATTGCTCGTACAAAGGTACGCTAAAGATCCCGCTATGAGCGGCGATGTGATCGGGAGTTCTGACACAGGCGGAGGTGACGGTTCGCAGTAGCAATTTCAGACATGTTAGCAAGTGTTCCGGGTAAACCATTTCCTCCTCGCCGGGATGTGCCTCGAACTCGCTAAGTTTCGTTAGAATGATCTCCATCGGCGACGGGGCCAGGTTGTCGGACTCGACCGACGCGCCGTAGCGCAGCATAATCAACAGGATGTCCGGCGCGCCGTGTTGGATCGCGACCCTCAGAGGCAGAACCTGTCCGTACGACTCCATGGGCACGTCGATGAAACGTCTCTTTATCGGCGAGGACTCGCAACGGTACTCGAGCCGGCCGCTAATCGCGTGATCCAAGAAGTACACCAGTGCCCGGATGTTTTCCTCGCGATCGTCAAAGTCGCACTTACAGCCGGACAGAAAATGCGTTACGCGCGTACCGAAAATCGCCCCGACCAACAATCGCTCGAACGTCTTCTCGCAGTAGAATATGTCGTTTAGCAGTCGGCTGACGATCACGTTGTTGTCGATATTCCAGTCGTAGCAGAGTTTCGCCGCTACGTACAGAACGTTATGGAACTTGCCGAGCAGACAGATCGACCCGTTCTCCATCATCGTGATATTGTGATAACGCAGAGCCGAAAAGACGATCCTCTCGCACACATCCTGTTTGTCGAGATTTTCCGCTGGAAGCACCAAGCATCGGGCGTGAATCATAGTCCCATCGGTTATAAAACGGGCGAGTGAAAAAAGTCATGGAATTTCTCCGCGTGGAACGCGGGCGCGAGACGGAGATGCAAATTATTCTGGAATTCGTGGTGATGCGTTTGTATTATAGGCGCGTGGTATTTTTCACCGTTACTGCAACGGCATTGGCGAAACAACGAAGACAAATAGAAAAGATCAGGCACGGTTTAATGTAACGGTAAGATCATAATGGGCGGCGATATCTTTCAGGCGTGTTTCAGGCATTCTCGTAGCGCCGCGAGGACAAATAAGAATTTAGCGGATTAAAACTATGCGCGTCGTTAATATCGTGGAAGAGCGTATCGTCTACAGGGAAATTCAGGAATTTTCTGTCGGAGATACACGGATAATAAAATAACGTTGTCATACTAATGGTTATCGATTCCCGACGGCGCGGCGGCGGTCCATTTGTCACTTTACGCTAGTCACGCGTAAATATGCGCATAATATGTAAACGCGGATATCATAAATCTCGTTACCTTCTGCACAACTGTTTATCACATCCGTAAAATAATTGACCAACTCGCGACGTTTGTATCGCGAGGCTAAGCAACTGCGTTCCATTTCCGAGAACAGCCTGTCGAAATAACAATCTATCAATACCTCCATGGTTTGCGAGTGACTTTAATTAAAAGGCAACGCAATGTCTAGAGAATTTGACGGTGTACGTAATTTCAATGACGGGTAAATATCGCGTAACGGTCGTCGCAAACGTTCACGTTTTAATGATTATCAGCAGAAGAAACAAGCCAGCGCACGACAGGCCTAATTCGATTAGACGTAAAACACGCATTTTGAAGGCTTCTTCGATGCACCCTTCCTGAGAGCTACATCCATGTTAGAAAAGGCTGCTGCAGGCTTCTCATACTTTATATATGTACAAGAGAGGGGAGTCGAGAATTGTTGCTGTCGACAATTGTCAGATTTCGTTTCCGGCGTGTTGCCGTACTTTTGCTGTCGACGATTGTCGGACTTCTTGCTTTCGACGATTGTCAAAACTTTGTTACCGGAGGGTTGCCGGACTTTTGCTGCCGACAGTTGTCAGATTTCGTTTCCGACGGGTTGCCGTACTTTTGCTGTCGACGATTGTCGGATTTTTTGCTGCCGACGATTGTCGAACTTTGTTACCGGCGGTTTGCCGGACTTTTGCTGCCGACGATTGTCGGATTTTGGTAACTGACTTGTTTTTTAATTAAATCGGCAGATGAAGGTTTAGCATCTTCGTCCATAAGGGTTACGTGGATCTGCATCCAATCTTTCCGTTTTTTTATCAAGAGCTTTGTCAGCTCAATGATCCTACAGGATCATCTTGTTTTTGAGCCTATAGACTGGATATTGGCGGATTAATCGCGTCAGGTTAGTCTAAGATGACTCACCTCGTCGCGGAGCGAAATTCAAAATGCACAAGCTAGATAGTAGTAGGCCCTAGAAACCCTCCAAAGAGAGATTGGCTAATTTGCCGCCATTTGTATTCAAACAGAAAATAGTAGAGATCCTGTCTTCCTCCCTACACTTTTATATTAATTCCCCCGTCTTTTTTATTTTTGGTTTGAATGCAATTGGAGACAGAAACAGTTCGCCTTTTGGCCAGTCTTTCTTTCCGGAGAGTCTCTAATAAATCGGTCCGATCAGGGACACTTTCGCCGCATCTCGTCACGAGATGCGAGATGGCATATGCGACATGGCATATGGACTTTTTTACCGGTGGGTTACCGGATTTTTGCTGTCGACGGTTGTTGGCACAGGTTTCTTTACCGGCGGGTTGCCGGATTTTTGCTGCCGATGGTTGTTGGCATAGATTTCGTCACCGGCGGGTTGTCGAACTTTTACTGCCAACAATTTTCGAACTTTGTTGTCAACGGGTTGTCGGTCTTCGTTACCGGCGGGTTGCCGGAAGTTCTTGTTACGTCGAGACCATAGTTTCAGAGTCTTGCAATCTACCGATGCTTAGTTACAAATCTTCAGACTACAAGGCCTCGAAGGTGAAGACCTTCGTGAGGACTGAGCTGCCGCACACGCAGGTAACTAAGTCGGTGATCACCCTGCTGCTACTAAGGATGGAACAAATTCACGATCATGACCGATCAGTGGAGCCAATCAAAAATTGGAACCGGAAAAAATTAATCGAAAAAATCGATTCCCACACAGCACACTTTATCTGAGGGACGTCCTACAGACATTTGGGATATCTCAATAACCGGTGGATATCCAGTGGATATTCAATATCCGGTGGATATCCAGCGGATGCACAAATGTCCCTCAGGATATCCTGTGCTGTGTGGGTTTGAAAAAAAAATGATGTAGAGAAGATATAATTTAATTTTTTTGAAGATCTTTTTCCTTTATTATCACCTTTGTAATAATTAGTGGAGTAGCATACTTTGTTATATTGCAGGACTTTTGCTGCCGACGATTTTCAAACTTTGTAGTCAATGGGTTGTCGGACTTTGTTACAGGCTGGTTGCCGAACTGTTGCTGCCGACAGTTGTCAGATTTTGTTTCCGGCGGGTTGCCGTACTTTTGCTGTCGACGATTGTCGGACTTTTTGCTACCGACGATTGTCGAACTTTGTTACCGGCGGGTTGCCGGACTTTTGGCGCCAACGATTGTCGGACTTTTTGTTGTCGACGATTGTCGGATTTTAGTAACTGACTCGTTTATTTAATTAAATCGGCAGATGAAGGTTTAGCATTTTCGTCCATAAGGGTTACGTGGATCTGCATCCAATCTTTCCGTTTTTTTTTTTATTGAGAGCTTTGTCAGCTTAATGATCCTACGGGATTATCTTGTTTTTGAGCCTATGGACTGGATATTGGCGGATTAATCGCGTCAGGTGTGTCTAAGATGACTCATAGCTTCTCTTTGAAGAAATAACGAAATACATAACAACCTGAAACTATTATTGTATTATTTCTTTTTACATCTTAAAAGAACATCTTATACTTTTTCTTACAAAATTTTTGTCGAACGGTTTTAGTAAAGGATATAAACTTTGACTTAGCTTAAATGACATTAAATCGTCAAATTCCTTAATTTCATTATCAGATGACACACCGGTAATTCTTCTAGGTGTATCAGGCAAATTTCTTTCCATTGACATAGCCGTGAGCATCACATGTACCGACAACTTACGGTCGAGGATTGTTTTATCGATTATAACGTTCGATATTTTTAACAAAATGTTAATCGTGCACGCGTGTGAAGTTAGCACGCCAATTGTCTGTATTGGTTTAACGGCTCGTGAGCTATAAAAGACAGATCGTGATCCCTAACACAAAGACAAGAATGAGAGAGCGTGGAATAACAACCCACCATATTAAACCAACAAAAACATTCATTTAACCCGAAACATGCCGGCTTGCACCGGATAAATTGCAATCTGCGAAAATGGAGTATCATCTTTATATCATCTATTAAGGGATCTACTCTTCCTAGGTATTGGTGTAGATGTCTTATTAGGAAGGTTTCTTTCTAAGAATGATATTCTATTTTCGAGTATTCGTATTTGATCTGTGTTAGCAGCACATCCAGGACAATTTCTAGTGCTATATTGTCTATGCATCTTAGTTCATGTCATATCAAAGATATATAAAATATCTAATATATCTGTTTAACTTATGCTTGTTTACTGCAAGAGGGAATTATACGGGCCTTTCAAAAGCCCATGATCGTCACCATTTTATATGCATGGTACCCTAAAGAAACGGACCATGGCGACCCTACGGAAACTACCGTAAATTTAACGAACGGACAACCTGAGATAGGTACCGAGACATAGAGTATGTCGCAAAAACCTCTGTAGAACAGAGGTACAGAAAATCGGTTTTCTGCACGTTGGACCTCGTAGCCACGGAACCTCGGAGCTACGACATTCGCAGTTTGACCACAAGGGTTGCCGGACTGTTGCTGCTGACAGTTGTCAGATTTCGTTTCTGGCGGGTTGCCGGACTGTTGCTGCCGACGGTTGTCAGATTTCGTTTTCGACGGGTTGCCGTACTTTTGCTGTCGATGATTGTCGGACTTTTTGCTGCCGACGATTGTCGGACTTTGTTACCGGCGGATTGCCGGATTGTTGCTGCCGACAATTGTCAGATTTCGTTTCCGGCGGGTTGCCGTACTTTTGCAGTTGATGATTGTCGGATTTTGCTGTCGACGGTTGTCGAACTTTGTTGTCAGTGGGTTGTTGGACGCGCTCTTCTTCGACATTTACGTTTTCGAAAGTTTCTCTGAGAGTAACGTAACGACGAGCAATTAAAAAAATCTCTTAGCCATTTTTTGTAAGACGTCTAAAAGATGTCTAAAAGATGACTGTCTGGGTTAGGTTCGAGTCTTCTGGAAGGTTTCGTCATTTACTCTTTAATGAGCGATGACAGTTGGGTTGCATCCGCTCGCCAATCGATAACTGCTACTTATGGTTTCCGTCTATTTCGTATAATGATAGTAATTTCACGAAAGAAAGAAATTGTGGAATCCACGGAATGATGAGCAACGACGGGCAATTTAAGAAATCCATATCAAGTAGAACATTATGTTCCATGGCGGTATTTGGTACGGTATAAAATCTGATTTTTTGACGCGCGCTTGTAACTTCTACCACGCCGTAAAAAATGCCATCGGTTTCAAGCGGTGAGCTGTCAAGCATGTAAACTTTATCAATTTTTTTAGCAAGAAAGTGTGACTCGCTCGAAATAACGTTACTTCGGATAAAACTGATAGGTGACCCGGTGTTAATAAATGCGTACAATCAAGTACATAGTAACATATATTTTCATACTGATATCTAGATATTATTTTGACGGTCGCTATATACGGCGTCGGTGAGGCACTCGATTCCTCATTCGTAGGCTACTCCAGATTCGTAGACTCTGTCTGCGTTGCAGTGTTCTTGGTCTTCCCGCTCCCATATAGGGGGTCGTAGAGAGTGAATAAAAGTTTATTTACCTGACGACTTTGATTCCCTAAACTATCACTATATAGAAGGTTGGCATAGATTTCGTCACTGGCGGGTTGCCGGACTTTTACTGCCAACGATTTTCGAACTTTGTTGTCAACGGGTTGTCGGTCTTTGTTACCGGCGGGTTACCGGATTTTTGCTGCCGACGGTTGTTGGCATAGGTTTCGTTACCGGCGGGTTGCCGGACTGTTGCTGCCGACAATTGTTAGATTTCGTTTCCGGTGGGTTGCCGTACTTTTACAGCCGACGATAGTCGGATTTTAGTAACCGACTCGTTTATTCAATTAAATAGGTAGATGAGGTAAATAGGTTTAGCAGTTTCGTCCATAAGGGATACGCGGATCTGCATTCAATCTTCTCGTTTTTCTATCAAGAGCTTTGTCAGCTCAATCTTTGTTTTTTTTTTTTATCAAAATTTTAAGTAGGATTAGAGAATTTTTTAATGCCACTTTAAAACAATTTTATTTTACTACACACGCGTTTTTTAATATTCTTTAAGTATGTAATTACAAAGAAAAGTCACTTAAGATTTGAAATTAAATTAAAGAAAGTACTACAAGAAAATAATATGAACTAATGTCAATCTGTCTATTGTATATGGATGTAGCTTATCAGAAGTACAGAATTCGAAAGATGGTAAAAGATTCAACGCTAATTTAGAACGATAAAGGATATTATTGTTATATCAATTGAATAATACATATTGCGGAATTATGCACTAAAGAATTAACATTAAGCTATTAATTATATAGTCTGGACAATATATTTATCAAATGATTGACAATAAAATGTTATTTAAATATTGAACGTAACAGAAATACATAAATTTTATTTTTAAATTTATATTTGATATCTCTTTCTGACAAAATTATTTCTTACATTTTCTGTAACCAGTGATGAAATCTTTGTCAGCTTTGTCAGCTCAATCTTTGTTTTTTATAAATTTGATTTATAAATTTGATTTATAAATTTAATTTTTTATAATTTTGATGACCCTACGGGATCATCTTGTTTTTGAGCCTATGGGCTAGATATTGGCGGACAGATAATCGCGACAGGTGAGTTTAAGATGACTTATCTATGACTATCGTATATAATCCTTGAGAAAAATAGCGGTACTTTATGTGTGTATGTTTCCCTCTCATTATTTCCTTCTGCTTAAGGCCATAGACAAACGAGATTTTTGTGGACACTTTGTGGCCGTACAGAGAAGCCTATAGGCGTCTATAACGTTTCTGTGTGTTCCTATAGCTATAGGGCTTTAATTATTTTTTTTATTGTCTTTTTCTTTATCTCTCTTTCATCTTCTCGAATCAATAAGCAATAACATCAAGTTAGCGTTCATTTAACTACAGACGA